TTAGTAATGGATGGATGCCATATATTTGGGTCATAGAGATGGCCACTAAGGGATATTCAACTGTAGAATGAAACTTGATCAGGGAGTCAGGAAATGTGGCTCTGGTCCCAGTTCTGCCTATGTTAAGCCTTGGTTAGTCATTTCACTTTCTGGGACTCCATCCCATCTGTTAACATGAATGATGTCTAAGATTCTGATTCCAAGCTTCCTACCTGGCCACCGACAATGTAGGGAAACATTTTTTCTCTAATTTTTAAGGAATTTAGCAAGAGAAAGCTATCAAGCAAATAGCCACTTCTCTACAAAGCCAGCCTTCATTTGCTTTAACAGGCTTTGGCAGGGAGAGCTGTAATAGTAAGTAAGTCTCCCCATGTCTTTTTAGGGTCCTTCCCTCTGAAGTCGAAGTGTTAGAGTCTATCTATCTGGATGAACTACAGGTGATTAAAGGAAATGGCAGGTATGTACTCAGCTAGGGGTGAATAGGAGTCCTCTTAGTAATGACCAGATTCTGTGCATAATCAGGTCTTAAGACACTGTGAGCCTTGATTCAGAGATAATGTTTCTCTTGTGTAGACAAAGGCTGTTCCTTAATTTCTTCAAAAGAAAGTGTCCAATGCTCACTTCCTCTGCCTGCTTTACTGTCTCACCCTGCTCCTCTCCTCAAGCCTCTGCTCTGTTACATCCTGGGTCTTCACTTCATCCACCTGCAGATCTTCACCATGGGAGATCTTCATCACTCTGCACCCTGCCACTGCAGAGGACCAAGATTCACAGTATGTTTGCTTTACTCTGGTGCTTCAGGTCCCAGTGCAGGTGAGGCTCTTACTATACAAAACAAGAAGGAAGGGAAGAGTCCCCAAAATTGGATTGCTTTAGCAGTAACTTGTTACTTTCCCCCACTAGTATCCCCAAGAGGTGCCACAGATATCTATCCGTAACCCCCGAGGACTCTCAGATGAGCAGATCCACAAGTAAGTTGAGCTGGTCATTAGCAGGGGAAGCTCAGCACACAGCTTTGCCTGGTGAAGGAGGAGGACAGGCCTAATATAAGCTTCTCTCTCTTCCAGGATCTCACAAGCACTGGGCCACGTGGCCAAGGCAGGACTGGGCACTGCCATGCTCTATGAACTAATTGAGGTAAGGTGTGCTGGCCTGGGAAAATGTTCTTCCCTTTAAACTACAGCCATTTTTTTCCCAAGGGACTTTATTTAGGTAAGCCATAAATTAATTTAGAAAGATGATAACTCTTACCCAAGTTGTCTATTCTAGCATCTCAACAGAAAAGTGCCTTTCCTCTTTAGCTGCCTTTATTCTTGCTTCATTTCACTGCATTTCTTGATTTCTTGGCACTAGCAACTGTGAGTAGAAAAGATGGGGATCTTCCCTGGGCAGGTAACCATTAGTGAACATTTGAAGGCCAGCCCGCCATTGGATTTGACAAGAAAAAGTTATGGTTTCTCTGCTCAAAGTTTTGTGTGGGATGTCATAGTGCATAGCTGTAATCCCAACAATTGGGTAAGCTAAGACAGGGGGATTGCAGTCTCAGTTTTGTACCCTGGTTAAGGAAACAATCTATACATTGCAACACATAGAGCCCCAAATTAATATACATAGATAACTTTCCCTGTTTAAGATTAAAAACACAATCAAGGTCAAGCTTATTTTCCTCTACTTGGAATTTTTGAGAAAAATATTCACAAAAGAGTGAAGGTGGGTGGCCCAGAGTCAGGGAGTGGGCGTGTTAGACCACTATGGCACTGCTAGGTCAGGCATCCACAATGCAGCTTTGAACTCTGAAATTCCAGAGGATTAGCTATTCAAATAATGATGCAAATGCATATTTTATGGACCAACTGATGCCTTTTGATTTTTTTTGTCCATCTGGATTGTGTGTGCCTTGACTTTCTTCAAGCCAACTCTAGAACAAACTCATGGCACCATGGGGGAGTGATAATCGAGGAGTTTTAATCAAGAAAGGCCTCCCTTGTGGTTGTGCATGCCTGTAATTCTAAGTACATGGGAGGCTGAGGAAGAAGAAGTGCAAGTTTAAAGCCAGCCTGGACAACTTATCCAGACCCTGTCTCAAAAAATAAATAAAAGAGGCCTCACAGAAGATGAGTTTTAATTTAATGCCTTTTCTTTCCAAGGTATATTGTTTTCTTCTCCAAGATATATTAAAAGTGACTTTATGAGAGGGAAAACAATTAACTTGGAATTTGAAGCCAGGAAGATCCAGTTTGTCAGGGAGGGATGGTGATATGGAGGATTGTTTGTAAGCAAAGGGACCAGAACAGGAATTCATAAACACGAGGTAACACAGGACAGGAATGCAGAAACACAGGGCAACAAGCTGGTTTGTGGACATGGAGTCCTGCCACTCACTCTTGGAAGTAGCAGGCAGGCCTTGTTCACAGTTCTTGTCCCTGCCTCCATGTTGTCTTCTCTCATCTCAGAAAGGGAAAGAAATTCTCACAGATAACAACATCCCCCATGGCCAGTGTGTCATCTGTCTCTATGGCTTTCAGGTAGGTTTCTGGGGCCTGGGATGTGCTTACAGCAGATGAGGATTCTGAGTGAGTGCTAATGCAGTATCATACAACTGTGCCTCCTCCAGGACAAGGAAGCCTTTACCAAAACGCCCTGTTACCACTACTTCCACTGCCACTGTCTTGCTCGATATATCCAACACATGGAGCAAGAGCTGAAGGCTCAAGGACAGGAGCAGGAACAGGAACGGCAGCATGCTGCCACCAAACAGGTAGGTCTGGCCAGTGCCTGTCTCACCTGACACCCTTAGACTTTGACCTATTTCCACTCCTCTGCTCTAATGGCTTTCATCTTTTTAGAATCATGGATACTTTTGATATGAGTGAAATCTTACTCCTGTCCAGAAAAAAGGATATCTTTATGTATACTTATATGTTGCATGCAATTTCTAGGGGTCCCCAGACCTCTTCGGGGAAGTCCTTCCTTTGTTCCCCCTCATTGCCAAATAGGTATGCCTGTGCCTTTTATTCCCAATTTTCTGCATATTAGTTTGGCTGGCTGGAAGCTGGTGTGATTTCTCCTCTTGTTTTAGAAAGCAGTCGGTGTGCAGTGTCCTGTGTGCAGAGAGCCTCTCGTGTATGATCTTGCATCACTGAAAGCAGCCCCTGAGCCCCAACAACCCATGGTAAGGGGATTCCCTTCTAATCTGAGCCAGGAATGATGGCATTCTGTAAGGCAGGAGGAAGGGCATCTTGTCTCCAATGAATGGGATCTTTGGAATGGGATCTTTGATCTGCTTAGGACTGTCTGCAAAACCACAAGCCTACACTGGCTTGTGAGGGACAAGATCAAAAACCTTGTGTCGTTCTCCTGAGGCCAACCTGAAAGAATAGAGGTTCAAGTCTGCTGCCTTTTCCTGTTTGTTCTTTCTTCCCTGCCATTCTGCTTCCTTCCTCCAGGAGTTGTACCAACCTAGCGCAGAGAGCTTGCGTCAGCAGGAAGAGCTAAAGCGACTTTATCAGAGGCAGCAGGAACGGGGTGGCATCATTGACCTTGAGGCTGAGCGGAACCGGTATTTCATCAGCCTTCAGCAGGTAAGGGAAGGGTTTCCCATTTGTCGCCCAACATCACCAACCCTCCTACAAATGCCCCTGCACCATGGCCCTAGGGTGTTCTGCTCAGTTGTTCCAGGCTGGTGGTGGCTGGCTAATAGTGGGAGAGGAGCCTGAAGTTCCCTGTTTGGAGGAGCGTCATCTCCCTTAGTGCGTCTCTTCTTTCTAGCCTCCTGCCCCTGTGGAAGCTGAGTCAGCCGTGGATGTTTCCAGAGGATTCCACCCACCTAATGCCCTTGCCACAGAACAGTCCAACTCACCAGCTGCCCAGCCAACCCTGCCAACTCCTCTTTCTATGGCTACCCAGTATACGTGTGAGAAGTTCCCAGGGACTGGGCCAAATCAACAGAGGTTGGGTGAGACCCAGAAAGCTACTCTAGATACCCCCGGGTCCAGTCAAAGCCCCTGGCGACAGCCTAGTCGGAGGCACCTGAAGGGAGGGGAGTGCTGTGCTCCCAAAGATACCAGTGATTCCCAGGAACTACCACCTCCTGAGAGGCCCCTCAAAGAGCCTTTGGACCTAAAGCTGGAATCCCGTAACCAAGGGGTTGAAGGTCCGCCCCAAGAGAAGGGGCCTGGCAGCTGGCAGGGTCCCCCACCCCGCAGGACTCGGGACTGTGCTCGCTGGGAGCGCTCCAAAGGCCGGACAGCGGGTTCTTCCTACCCTCGCCTGCCTCGGGGTCAGGGAGCATACCGGCCTGGTACTCGGAGGGAGCCCCTGGGCCTGGAATCTGAAGATGGTTCCTAGCACTATTGTGGGGGGACAGGGAATTGGGGGTGGATGGGAAGCAATAAAGAAATTAAGCCTTGTTCATTTTCTTTCTCAGTAGTGTCTAACCTGTAATGTACGATTCTCTTTCTGAGTTCCTAGCAAGATTGGGGTATGACAGTGTAGCCCCTACCTTCATTCTTAATTATCCCAAGAAATCAGGGTGAAAAGGGTTCGGCTCCTCTACTGTAATGAGTTTCAGAGGAAACTAGTAGGAGGTCGACATTTGGGCGGAATTTTTAGAAAGCACTATAACATAACCCACTGTGTATTATTTTTTTTTTAATATTTATTTTTTAATTATAGGTGGACACAATATCTTATATTTATGTGGTGCTGGAGAATTGAACCCAGTGCCTCATGCATGTTAGGCAAGCACTCTACCTCTGAGCCATAACCCCAGCCCCCCCACTATGTATTCGACCATGTTAATACATGTTCCTCACTTGGATGCCCTTAGATGGAGGCATGTATCTTCCAATTTAGGGTCTCTTCCTCCTCTCTTAGGCTACACCCCACATCATCTGTATAGGTTTTGGAATGATTAACCCTTATATAGTCCCCTGTGATTGCAGCCCTTGTTTTGTATTAAGTACCAATCTGAGAGAGGGAGAAAGAGTCAGGGACCAGAGTAGTATGGCAAGTGTTTATTGATTTCCTCTAGGAGGAGAGCCCAGCACAGCCTGGCTGATTACCTCAGAGACTCGGTATTCTGAATTGCCCCTGTGGGGTCATTTTTATACAACATGAAGTAGCCCTGCACTTGGGCTGGACTGATCTGGGTTGTAGCTTGAAGGACATGATCTGCAAAGGTTTCAGCTAAAGAAGGTGCTTGCCCTGGATAGAACCTCTGGAACATCTGGATCAGCTGCCAGTGTGAACAGTAGCCCACGTACTCCTTCAGATCTACTCTCCCAGGGCGTATCAGGGCAGGGTCCAGCCTAGGAGGAGGAGAGTCACAAGCAACAGTCTCACTAGCACACCAAAAATGATGGTCTCCTCAATTTCCTAATTCTCCCAAGACATGGAATGGATTCTTCCCTCACTCCTTACCTATCAACATGGTTGGTGGTCATGAACACAATGCGTGCCTCAGTGGAAGCCACTCCATCCAAGGCATTGAGCAATCCACTGAAGGTAAGACGACCTAGACCTTGGTACTTCACAGGGTCTTGAAAAGACAGAAAAGCATGGTCATAACCTTGCTTAAAATTAGCACCTCCTCCATTCACACCACAGTCCCTGACTCTAGTGCCTCACAGCCAACCCTAGGCATCCTGTCAGCCCTGTGGAATTCCATGTCCTCCCATTCCTCATACTCCTACACCTCACTATCCTCATTGAGAACCATCCCCCTTCCCTAACACCCTCACTTACTCTCTGCAGCCAAGTCTCGACTGAGAAAAGCAGCATCCACATCCTCCAGGAGCACCAGACTTTGCTGTGGAGCCACACTCAGCAGGTAATTGAGCCGGTCATCAGAGAGGCTAGAGTCTGTGAGACTCAGCAGACAGATGCTATGTTCCAGTTCCCCAGCCAGGGCTGTGCTGTGAACATGAGAAGGTGGTAGGCAACTTGGGGACTATTCCTGGGTCCAGACCCTTTCCTCCTGTTGTGGGAGGTGTATCTCGGAGGCCCAATTCTCCCACTCCTTCGACATATCACATGCTTTTCCTGGCTCCTGGTCCCCAGATTCATTCCACTCTCCAGCCTCTTCTCCCCAGTTTTTCTACAAAGGCTGTTTTGCAGACTTGAGTGAAATTTTGACTACTCACATAAAACTGCTCTTTCCACAACCAGGGGGTCCATAAAGCAGGTAGCCACGTCTATAGGGAATACCTAGGGATACAGCCAAGATAAATAAGACCTAAAGTGAATTATATACCCTGTCCCACATGTCCACTTTGTTCCTAGCTGTGCCTCTTATTGGCCTGATGGCCTTGGTATGAAAAAAAAAAAAAATCATAGGCAACTTTTCTTGCCCCTTCTTGTCTGGGAATTGAGCTAGAGGTTTACATCATTCCTGGCCAAAGACCAGCCTGTCTGCCTTAACAATATGGTTAGAAATAGCCTATCCCAGACCTAAGCTACTTCTCACCTCTATCAATGTACCACTTGGGGTTATCAATGAATTCCCGGATGTCTCTGACAATTCGGTCAGCCAGACCATGCTGTAGAACCACAGAATTCAGTGGCCGGCGGCGGCGTGGATAGCCAAAGGGGCGCCATTCAGAGCCCACAGCTGTGTACATCACGGTCTTTCCTTCCTCCTGTTGCAAGGCTAGCTCTCGAGCTGTAAAAGGGGAGATAAGACAATGCCAATAATTCTCTCCAACATGGCTGTTCTTCAGTTAGACAGAACTATGCAATAAAGGCCTCCTAGCCCCATGTTCCCAAGGACTCACATCCTCTTATTCTTCCTCCCCAAACTGCTCTTCCTCCAATATCCAATGTCCCCATCCCTATAGCCCCCCCCCCCCCCCACCCATTACAGCCTGCCTGTGCCATCCCACACCTTCCTCCAGGATGTTGAAGAAAATCTTGCGGTCAGTGCCCAAAGCTGTGAAGGTGACAGATTCCCAAGGAGTCCCGGTCTGCAAGTCTATCATCTGCATTTCTCGACTTCGTTTTACCTGGATCCATTTGCCCTGATACCTGAATAAGAATGGTCAAAACACAGGGTGAGTGAAGGAAAATGATAAAATCCAGCTCTCTATTCTTATATCAGAGCCCTCCCTGGTTCCCAGTCTTACCAGATAAAGTGGTTTCCAGGGCTGGGAACAAATTCAAACTTGGTGGAGATCCGACCACTCTCGTGCTGAAGGTATGAAGTTTCCACGCTGAGGTGCTGAGTACGGGTACTGTGGCGGGTAAGCCAGCTAAGCAACCAAGCATAGCTCCTGTCTCGAGCAGGGACTTCCAGTGTGATCATGTAATGGCGCCGGAATGCCACCAGGCCCAATTGGGCACCCTTTCGGGCCAGGGCTAGGGCTGTGCCCACACCAACCAGGCCAAATCCAGCCCCAAAGTAGGGATTGTCCTTCAGGGCCAGAACAAAGTCTGAAAGTGGCATCTTGAATGGGAAACAAAGAAGTTTACAGGCTCTCAGGCCCTATTGAAAGCTAGGGGTAGAGATGGGACAAAGCACAAAATTAGTTTAGAATCAGACTCCATTGAATGTCCCCAAACCTGCCCCACTCCCTTCTCCAGAAGTAGCAAGGACAGGTCAACAGTACTATATGTTTCAATATCCTTTTTCAGGGTAGGGGTAGTGTTGGAATGCAGACCCTTCACTCCATTTTGTCCTCCCATCAGCCTGCTTATATCTCATTTCCTGTCAGAGGACCATGTTTGGAAATTCCTTAAGCTCGAGAGAGCAATATTACCTGATTCACATCAGGATAATGGATGGGTAGAATTTTTGTGGCCCATGGAACAAGCTGAGAATTTTTTTAAAGTCAGAGGTTGGGGACACTAGCTGGAGTCAGCAGCAGTGGCGCTTCCACTAACTTGTCAGTGACCACATGCTTTACTTACCATGCATGAATAACATTTTTCAAATACCCTCTCTGTCCCCCACACATCCAATTCCTAAAGTCCTGTTTAGAGTTGAGACTTTTATTACTTCCCACCTAAACTTTCCCTTTAAAATTAAATTTTACTTCTGGAAGTGGCATTTTAATGGATCTTCAACTCTTGTATCACCAAACAGCTGCAAAGATCCAGATCGTTCATCATAAGGATCAGAATTCTCCCTACTCCAGCACTTTCAGTGGTTGGTTTCCAATAGATCCCTGAATTGGGTACAAACTCCTCAGTCTGGTACTCAAAAGCCTTCACAACAGCCACCCACCTACCTTTCTTGGCTTAACTCCTAATACCCTTATCCAACAAATAAGCAAAACACCTCCCACCTCCTTCCTCAAGCAATTCTCCCTGCATTTTCCCCAAATGAAATCCTGCCCACCTGCTATTTCGCCCATGGAGTCTTTCCCAAATTCAACCTAATAAGATTTGGCTAGGTCTAATTGTAGATAATAAGATCATGAAGCCGGCAGTGGTGGCGCACACCTGTAATTCTAGCGACTGGGCAAGATAAGGCAGGAGGATCTCAAGTTCAAGGCCAGCCTCAGCAACTTATGGAGATCCTAAGCAACTGGTGGAGAACCCTGTCTCAAAAAATCAAAAGGGCTGGGGATATAGCTCAGTGGTAAAGTGCCCCTGGGTTCAATTATCAGCGCCGGGGAAAAATCATGAGGAATGGGAAGCCAAATAGTTTTTAGCACTCTTCCGACACCCCACCTCACTCCATTCCTGCCACTTTGCCCTGCCCCTGGCACGCAGAGCAGCGAATTGACAGCAGGGACCTCGGTTGAGGCTCAGAATGGGATCCAGAATTCCAAAACACCCATGGAAGATCATAAACAAAGCTCTCCTCTTTCGCGGTCCAGACACCCAGAAACCCTACCCAACCCCTCTCTACACCAAGGCTCGAGCCTCCACGAACGTGGTTTGGAGTTCTCAGTCACTCCACCCCCTTACCGCCATGACTCTCTGGCCCTTCCTCTCGATGGTATCGCCCAGCCGAAATTTGGGGAAGCGCCGTTCGGTCCCGCCCCCCGAATTTTTTAATCTACTTCCTGCCACGCCCACCAAGAACTTCTTGCCACTCTGCCCCACAACTCTCGATGGTCCTCCTTTGGCTTCAGGGAAAAGGTGGAGAGAAGAGAGAAAACCATAGAGTACCCACCAGCCAACAAGAGGTAGATAGAGTGGCCGCCATATGCCCGACGTCCTAGAGGCGGCTGGGCCGGGGGCGGTAGTACAAAAGGAGCCCTGGGAGGTCGCTCCAGCCGCTTTCTACCATAGAGATGCGGTTTCCGCCGGCGGTGGGTCTAGAGGTGAGTGAGCAGCTGCGAGGCGGGATCTGGGGGGAGTTTGGGTGGAGAGAGCTGGAGGCAAAAGTTTCTCGAGCTCCAGGATGGAAGTGGACCTGGACAGTGGGGACCCGTGGGAGGAGGTGCTGAAAGAAACACGCCGACGAGGGGGGCCCCTGCGCATCTCAGCGGCCGCTCGGCGCCTCAGCCGCGTCACCACTCTGGACCCCACCCGGGTACCCGCTACCGCTCCTCAGGACCACAGTCATGGTGGTGCTCCATCCCAAACCTTGCAGGTTACAAAACATCTTTCCCGTTCTGTGGCTCTTGTGCGCCAGCTCCCGTCCAACAGTGTGGATGCTGTCATCGCCTCCACTTTTCAGAGAGGAAAGCTGAGGCCCAGAGAAGCGTGGCGACTGCATCTGTCCAGGGCCACGCGGTGAGTCCGCCCAGCGGCAGGTGGGAACCCGTATACTTAGTGGCTCCTTGTTTCCCCAAGCCTTTCCTCTCCCTTAATTTGACCTTCCTTTTCCTCACTGCCATTGCCCGGAAGACAGATTCCCTTCGCGCCTCTCTCTTCCCCCCCCCCCCCCGCCCCGCCTTCCTGCGGGTGAAGGTTCTCAGTGTAGACAGCGCCAAGTCCTCTTGGCTCTCCCCTGAGGCGGTGTACTGCCGAGCCAGAAGATCTCCCAGAGCCCAGTTAACGGGCAGTAAGCAAGCGGAGGCCGGTTTCCAAAGATATTCCTTCGGACCTCGGAAGTGCACCTCCCTGTCACCTTTGTGATCTGTTGTTTTGAGTTGAGTCTGACTCAATTTCATGAAATGATTGTCATTCTTATAAATTACAAAAATTACTTGGCTTAAAATTCGTGTGTAACGGGATATACAGTTTAATTGCTATTGGTTTCTTGGTTGTATTCCAGTTTGAGACCTTAATGAGTTTGAATTTTCTTGGTGTGTTTCTTTATGTGGGGAACCATTGGTTTCATACCTTGGTACTATATACTTAACTTTACTCTGATGTCCCTCCTTCTCAGTGGTTCTTCACTAGTATCTACTTGTCTGACTTGCATAGTTTATTGGTGGTTTGTGTTCATTGAAGTGATGTCAGTAAAATCTACTCAGAAAGTTCCACATCAGGAAGAGAAACTGATCGGTAAACAACAGTGCAGTGTGACAGAGTTTCTGATATGTACAATGTACCATCAGGACCCCTGAAGACTGAGAATAAGAGTGTCAGGAAGTCTTCAGAATGGAAATGACATTTGTGTAGCTTCTTTTTTTAAATTTTTTTTTAGTTTACATGGACACAATATCTTTTATTTATTCATTTTTATGTGGTCTGAGGATCGAACCCATTACCTCACGCATGTGAGGCAAGTGCTCTACCACTGAGCCACAACCCCAGCCCTGTGTAGCTTCTTAAAGGACAGTAAGGCACTGACTAGCCAGAGAAGAGATTGAAAAAGTGCATCAAGCTGAGAGGTAAAAAGGTATGCGAATAAAAGAGAGTATGGTGCCTCCAGAGAATGGCACATCATCAGGTTCAGAGGTCTATTAAGGGCAGAGGTGGAAACCATGCCTGGAGAAATCAGCAAGAACCAGATTGAGATAGAAAGGCCCTATAACCTCACTGAGGAATGAGAGCATCAAGAAGCAAAAGGGAACTGGGCATGGTGGCTCATGCCTGTAATCCCAGAGGCTCAGGAGGCTGAGGCAGGAGAATTGTGAGTTCAAAACCAGCCATAACAAGTTGGCAGGACACTAAGCAACTCAGTGAGACCCTTTTTTTTAAAGGGCTGGGGATGTGCACATGTTCAGTGGTTAAACACCTGTGGATTCAATCCCCAGTACCAAAAAAAAAAAAAGGAAAGGGCATTTGAAATCCTTTGGCCCCACCCAATTTTGAAAACTAAAACTTAGTTTGAGATTTGACTCACTTCGTATCAAGAAACATAACCTGATATGTTTCTTATGTTGGCCAAAACTTGTTGGCTTTCTCCTAATATTGACTCTATTATACATATATTTTTATGTAAACTAAATCTTTTTTAAATTAATGTTTATATATAACAGCAGAATGCATTATAATTCTTATTACACATATAAAGCACAATTTTTCATATCTCTAGTTGTATACAAAGTATATTCACACCAATTCGTGTGTTCATACATGTACTTTGGATAATAATGTCCATCACATTCCACCATCATTTCTAACCCTATGACCCTATTATATTTTTTTAAAATTTGTTTTAGTTGTAGTTGGACACAATATCTATTTTATTTATTTATTTTTATGTGGTGCTAAGGATTGAACCCAGTGCCTCACGAATGCAAGGCAAGTGCTCTACCACTGAGCTACAACCCCAGTCCATTGACCCTATTATTTTTATACATTTTGTTCTGAACATGCTGCCATAAAGAAAATGCCTAAGTTGGAGGGCACTGGGCTGTGTACACACACAAACTGGGAAAAAAGTGAGAGCTCTAACCACATTTTGTTTTTCTTTTGGTTGGTTTGTCAGCATTTAAGAGGCCACAGCACACAAATCAATGGTGATGACAGACCCTGTGTTGGACTCACAGCCAGCCAACAGTACTGTGGAGATGGATGGACTGTGCCCTGAGCTGTTGCTGATCCCCCCACCTCTCTCTGACCGTGGAATTCTGGGACCTGTCCAGAGCACCTGTCCTTCTGGGGACACTGCACCTTTGCCTGCTGACCCAGACTGCCTGCTGGTAGAGGCCACAGCTAATGAAGAGGGCCCAGGGAACATGGAGATCATAGTGGAAACAGTAGCTGGAACCCTATCCACAGGAGCTCCTGAAGAGACCCCAGGTACAAAGAGTTGCTAGCAGGCTAGTGGGACAGGCAGCCTTGAGGTTTTGTGTGTTCTATTTTTATCCTTCTGTATGGATATGATTGGAGCATAAAATAGTATGCTATTTTTATACTTTGAGATGTTGTATTTTGGTTTGCAATTGGAGCCCGATGATGGAAGGCTGGCAGATTACTGCACAATCTTGAACCAAGCTTTTGGCAAAGTCTCTCCTTTAAGGGATTCTTGTCTGCTAGGCAGGATCCACAAGGGAAGACCTTTCTGACACCTGCCCGATCCTGGCTTGTCCTTACTCTTAACAATCTTCACAGATTCTTTACCCATATTGACCTTACACCCAGAAACTGCAACCAGGGATTAGGCAAAAGCCTAGCCTGCCTCCCACCCTGTAGTTGGCAGGGCTTTCCAAAGGTAACTGGTATTTCCTTGCCCTAACTTCCTGTGTATAATGTACTTCACTCATTCAAAGCATGTTAAGAGGAAGGGTTGAGCTGGGCATGGTGGTACACATGGCTAACGCAGGAAGATTGAAAGTTTGAGGCCCATGTGGGCAACTTGTTGACCCTGACTCAAAAATAAAATTAAAAACGGAGCTGGGGATGTAACTCAGTTGTAGAGGTCTTGCCTGGCATGTTCAAGGCCCCAGATTCAAGTCTCCAAAAGTACTACAAATATAACTACAGTTGAGCATTTTTATCCTAGGAGAAAGATTCTCCCCCTTTTCCTACAACTTCCTATTTTTCTGAAACTTACCTATTTTTTGACTGTCATCCTCTAGCTGTAGTTTTCACCACTTCCTTGGCAATGTAATGTAGTGACAAAGAATACTGGGAAAGATTGGCTAATTTGACCATATAGTATTTCTAACCTTCTCTGCAGTGAAACAACAACAACAAACCAAAAATTGGTAATATATAAAAAAGAGTTAATATCTTTAAAATTCAAAGATCTGCACAATAAGAAAAATAGTTTTCAAGAAAGCAAAAAAGAAATTTCTCTTCGCTTTGCTAAATAAGAAGTAAATATAGTCAATAAATGTATGAAGGATGCTTAATCTCACATAAGTAAATTCCATAGTTAAAAATAACTACATGAGGCTGGGCACATTGGCACATGCTTATAATCCTAGTGGCTCAGGAGCCTGAGGCAGGAGGATCATGAGTTTAAAG